CAGGAGAGCTCAGGACGTCCTGGCTGTGGAAGAAGAAGGAGCAGCAGCTTGTATTTGGGTATTTAAGTAAGAAGTTTAGATCGATGTATTGATCCAATAGCCCACTGCCACACACACAGACACACACAGTCACACACACAGACTCATAGACAGAGATACACACCTACACACACTGACAAATACATCCATACGCAGATACACACACAGACTCACAGACAGAGAGACACAGACACACACAGAGACACACAAACACACATACACACATACATACACAGATACACACATATACAGATACACACACAGAGTCATAAACACAGACACACACAGAGACACACACACACACACACACACACACACACACAGTACTCAAAGTGGGGGGCAGCAGGGGGCGGCTGGGCCAGAGAACCAGAGAGTCTTGTACCGCGCGCCAGGAGAACCGAGCCTCGCGTGGAGACGTTTTCACACTGACTGCTCCGGCTCCGGAGAGCCCCGGAGAGCTCGGGAGAGCTGGAGCACAGAGACGGACGCGCGCTGCTCGCCGACACCAGATCCGTCCTGACCTCCAGGGCAGCAGGGCGGGCTCGGGGTCCAGAGAGGTGGAGACCGGCGCGGGCAGGAAGAGAGCTGCCTTCAGGGGCCCTGGGATCGGGCACCCGGCTGCGTGCCAGCTGCCCCTGCCCCGGTGCCTCCGGCCCGAGTGGCGCCTCACTGGGGTCGTGCCCTGAATCTGACCGGCACAACTACGGCAGCCCATCTGGGCAGGGGGTGAGGGGGGGCCAGGAGTCAGGGGTTAAGAGTTCAGTGGAAAAGCACTACTGGGAGGGCACCAGATCAGTCTGTTTTTTACCGACAGGGAGGTGCAGTGGTCGGCGTGGGTGCCTCCCAGCGCTGGGGACCTGGGTTCAGTTCTGGACCTGGGGTGCTGTCCGTGTGGAGCCTGCATGTTCTCTCCCTGTGTTCGCGTGGGTATCCTCCCACAGTCCCAGAGGCAGGCTGGTAAGTTAATTGACTTCTGGGAAAATTGTCCCTGGTGTGAGCGTGTGAGCGTGTGAGCGTGCGTGCGTGTGTGTGTGTGTGTGTGCTCTGTGACGGACTGGTGCCCCATCCAGGGGGGACCCTGTCTTCCGCCTGTTGCCTGCTGGGATAGGCTCCAGCTGCCCCGCGACCCGGAAGTGGAGATGTTGTTTGGAAAAGGGCTCAGGCTCAGAAGTGTTCGGGATCCTGCTGGACTGTGGCTCTCCAGCACTGAGCTGGCCGGCCCTGCTCCACACCTGAGAAGGTGACTCTTCTCGGTGTGAGGAACTCTGGAGCTTGACGTGCCACCTCTAGCTCTCCAGGACACCTCTGGAGCAGGTGCAGGTCTCCAGTTAAATCTGTAACCCAGAGAAACCGAGAGAGCAGTTTCTACATCAGGTGTGGCTGGGGGAGAGGGGGGCGCAGTACCTATCAGTAACCACAAGGTGTCGTTGCTTTCCTCTTCAGTTTCCATTCACATAACATACAGGACAATATAGCTTTTTTATACGTATATACATCTATATCTGTAACCGCTGTTACAGATCCCCCACTTTCCTCATATCTTAACCAGGAGGGGGAGAATTTCTCCTGCAGAATTACTCAAAACTCTTCCACACCAGAGCGTAGGACAGCCCTCCCAGATTTCATTTTTACTTCAGTAGTTCCTTCATTCAGTTCATGCACCAATCTATTCTATCAATGTCCGGTATTCATTTCTGCAACAGTCCTGTGTCCCTCTGACCTGTAGAGTGTCATTCTTACAGGGGCAGAACGTCACACCTGCGGAGTGAATTAAGCCTTTAATTGGTTCAATTAAGTAACTTACAGCTAGACTAGAAAATCAGAAAGCCCTGTTGCTCTCTGGTATCAGAACTAGGGACCCCCTCTCCTACATCTGGGGTTCCTCTGGCTGAAGATGCTTATGAAGACTGAAACATTCTGGGCATCCTTCGAGGAGCAGGGTCAAAGGTCATTACTTGAATACACCACCTCCACTGACCTGGGAAGAGGTTAGAGAAATCAAAGTAACTACTTTATGAGTCCAATCAGAAGAGAATTGATCAATCACCCTTCGATAAATTAATTAGTAAAATTAGCTAATTGAGAACGTGGGTGGACCACAAGGTGGGGTGAATGGCAGGGGACCCACACAGACCGCAGGGTGAGTGCCCCCTACTGGCCCCACTAACACCTCTTCCAGCAGCAGCCTGAGCTTTCCCAGGGGTCTCCCCTCCAGGTACTGGCCAGGCTCCCACTGCTGGGCTCCAGTGAGCAGCAGGGTGATGTAGCTGCTGGCGAATAAGATCAAGCAGGACTTCACTGGGACCCTCACCCAGTGGGTGGAGCCCAGAGCTGGACTGGGGAGACTGTGCAAGCCCCCCCTGAGTCGCTGGACCAGAGCCCTGACCCTGACCCTGGAGGTCAGACCTCGTCCTGGGGAAACAGAAGGCTCTGATCCCAGGGAGCCAGGCTGGCCGGGGGTGGGCACTAGGACCCAGCGTCGAGGTGGGCGGGAGAGTGCGAGCTGTCAGTCTGCTTGATTTATGATCTGTCTGGGGGCCAGCTCAGCTGGGACTCTGTATATTAGAGCCCTGCTTCAGAGGCAGCCCCCACTGTCTCTCCCTCTGACCTCGGACTCTCTGCTCAGGAGGGCTGGCCGGTGGACAGGGGCCGACGCTCGTGATTCCTGGTGTGGACCGGGGTGTCTGCTGCTGGTTCTCGCCAGCTGGGCTGGGTGAAGAGGCCAGGGAGGAGGAAGAGGAGGATGAGTGAGGCCAGGAAGAAAAGGTGAGCGGCCGGATTTCGAACCAGAGTCCGCGACTTCGGGGCCTCGGCTTGGAAAACTGGGAATTTAGCCAGTGAGAAGCCGGAGCGAATTCGGGGGGGGGGGTTTTCTGGATATTTAGCAGGAATTGGAGTTTGTGATCTGCTGCACGCTTTACAAAGCAGATGCAGACTTTGCCCCAGAAGCTGTTAGAATAGAGAAAGACGTACATCTGTACCTGTGTGTGGGCGAGATCCTGCTGGGAAGTACGCCCGAGCCGGGGACAGGGGCTGTGCTGGAGATTCCCGAATTTTCGAGCATGTTCTGCCGGCCCGGGCGCAGTCTGAGGGGTCATCCTGGACCGGGTTCTTTAGTGGGAATGTCCCGCCTGTGGATCTGGCTGATCGTTGCGTACTGACCCCAGCAGGAGCTCCGAGAGCAGGAAGCCCACAGAAAGCTGTGTGTGTGTGTGGGGGGGGGGGACTGGCCCGAGGAGAGAGAATGGAAGTTTGTAGGGTCGTCCCGGCCGTCAGCACGGGGTCCCGGATTTGGTTCCAGCATGGAGCTCCTTCCATGTGGAGTCTGCATGGTCTCTCTCCGTTCTCTGCTGGCTGGCTTTGATTTCCATTGTCCCTCTCACTGCGGGCCCACCAAGGATGGGTGCCGTCTTTGTGTTTCAGGAATAGGCTCCTGTTTGTTCTTGCTGGCAATGGATAGGGATCAAATGGGATAGAATCTGGGAGCTGGGATCACGCTCACCTTCCCTATAGTCTCTGGATCGGGTGAGAGTGT